TGTCAGTCACTATCTGTTATATCGCTATAAGTCTTATTTAGCGTTATGTTACGTCCATATGTCCTTGTGGGAGTGCCTGTGTTCTTCTCTCTCTCTCTCTCCCCTTTCTCTATTGATCTCTTAGGCCGCCTTCCTTGACTGCTGATTGGCTCCTGACGCTGTCAGTCATCATTAAGCAACTTGACGCCGACCTATCCGCTGCTGGTAAAGTTTTTGCCGGCAGATAAAAGGACACGGAGAGAAGTGAATGGAGACCTCTTTTGCGCCCTGATTTTTGCTGTCTTTTTTATTAGTTTTTGACTTGCTTTCTTTGTTTATGCCAAAATCCTTGGTGTTTTTGTTCTGACATTTTTTTATCCTTTCCCTTTTTTTGATTTGCCATTTTGTTTGGTTATTTTGTTACTTTGTGACTCGGATGGCGTTGCTCTTTGAGCTTTGATGAGCTTATGCTCGATGACGTTTACCCTTTACTCAAGAGGAAGGTGGATAGGGAAGATGTCGTGCGACTTCCATTGTGCAACATTTAGGTAACTTTATCTGTTTAGACACCATAGGTAAGAGGTGAACGCCACCCCCTGTAAGTTTCATTGTTATTAGTTGAGAGTAGGGAAGTATATGGCGCTTGGCGCTGAAGATTAGTTTTTTTTTCTTTTCTTTCTTATCTTTAGTTAGGTTAGAGGTTTGAAATAAGGTAGAAGTGGTTTTGTTGTGTTTCTTTCTTTCTTTTGCCCCTTTCTCTTGGGTTGATTTGTTTTTGTTTTTGTTTCCCTTTTTCTTGTGTTGTAAATATTTGTACATATGGGTTGTCTCTTTAATGATTTATATTTTGTAGTTATATGGATTCTTTTCACCTTGTATATTAAATCACTTTCGTTGACAGTTTGTGTCCCTGCATTGTCTCTTGGCTGCCTCCAAGTTTACAGATTTGCCACAGATTTAATGTTACTCATTTTACCCCTAGACCATCTTAAAGGGTCTTAACATTTAATGGGGGCTCGTCCGGGATCAATTAATCCCCAAAAATGATGGTAATTGTGGTATTTTTGTAGATGTGTTGGTTGCAAAGAATGGACATTGCATTGTTTGGGGTATTGTGACAGTATAGGACTTACTCATGCGGTGTACTAGTGTTATTCTTATTGGTTGGTTATTTATTATGGAAGTGTTTAACTTGCAAGATTTTATTACCAGTCCATCTATAGAGCAGATTAATTTGTGTAGGAAGCAGGATTTATTGCAGATCGCAGACCATTTTCAGGTTGTTGTAAGTAAACAGTCTCTTAAAAGAGAGAGAAAACAAATACTGATCTTGCGGTTGAGTGAGTTGCAGGTGTGGCCTACGTCAAACGTTGGGGGTGGTGAATCGGGCGGAGTTGTTGATATGGATGGCGTGGCTCTGGCGCAATTCAGTTCTGGGGAGGAGGACAAGCGGAGTGGCGGAGCTGATGCTGACGCGGAGGCCGAAGCCAAGGCCGGCTTACCACCGTTTGAGCCGTTTTCTCCTTCTCCGCGGGTTGGTTTAGCCCCAGAGGCTTTTGACGTGAGTAGACACATTGCACTCGTTCCTCAATTTAGAGAAACAGAAGTGGATACTTACTTCAGTGCGTTTGAACGCATCGCAACTTCTCTTCGTTGGCCTAACGAGGTCTGGTCTTTGCTTTTGCAATGTAGATTATTTGGTAAAGCGCAAGAAGTTTGTTCTACGTTATCGCTAGAAGAGAGTCTGAAATATGAGTCTGTGAAGTCTGCTATCCTGCGAGCATATGAGTTGGTTCCAGAGGCTTATAGGCAACGTTTTAGGAAACACAAAAAGAGTCCTACACAAACATTTGTGGAGTTTGCTAGAGAGAAGGGAGTGTTGTTTGATAAATGGTGCACTGCCAGTAAAGCGAGTGATTTTGACTCTTTAAGAGAGTTGATGTTACTGGAGGAGTTTAAGGGATGTTTATCTGAACGTGTAGTAGTATACCTTAATGAACAGAAGGTAACTATTTTATCACATGCAGCTGTACTCACAGATGAGTTTGTTTTAACTCACAAGAATGTATTTTCCTCTGCACGTCCTGAAAAGTTACAGTTTGACAGTTCGCAATCTCAAACTTCACGTTCAAGATTTAGCCCACCTCATAATAAAGAGGAGCGTGAATGTTTTTACTGTCACAAGAAAGGGCATGTGATTGCTGATTGTTTGGCTTTGAAGCGTAAGCAACAGCCACAACCAAAGAGCGTGGGGTTGGTGAAAGCTTTAAGGTCTGCGGTCGCTGTGCATCCTGCAGAAAGAATTGATGAGAGTTATCGGCCCTTTGTGTCAAAAGGGTTAATATCTCTGTCTGGGAAAAGGGAGGACCAGGAAGTAAGAATACTCAGGGACACTGGCGCCATGCAATCCTTTATTTTGGCAGGTAAATTACAGCTGTCTGACAAGACCTTTTGTGGCACTAGTGTGATCGTGCAAGGCATTGAGATGGGTTGCGTGAGATTTCTGCTCCATCGTGTGCACTTACAGAGCAAACTGTGTACTGGCTTTGTGAGAGTTGCTGTGAGTCCTTCACTTCCTGTGAAAGGTGTTGATGTTATTCTTGGAAATGACCTGGCAGGTGGAAAGGTAATGCCTGTTATTGAAGTTGTTGATGAACCAGATGCGTATTGTGAGTTAGAGGTACTGTCTGAAACTTACCGTGATGTTTTTCCAGCTTGCGCCGTTACGCACGCTCAGTCGCGCAGAGTAGCTGATGTAGTTGATCTGTCTAATTCATTCATGTTTCCACTGTTGTCGGGTGACACATCATTGGATATGAGTCTTGAAAAGGAAAACCATTCAAAGACAGAAAACAAAGATGTAATTGTGTCTGATGCAGATATACTCAAATTACCAGTGTCACGTGAGAGAATTATTGCTGCGCAGAAAGAGGATAAAACTCTTGTGAATTCTTTTAATTCTGCCATTTCCCTTGATGTGGCTACAGATAATAAAGTTGCTTACTTTATTGATAATGACTTACTGATGAGAAAGTGGTGTTCTCATGTTGACAAGAATTTAGATTGGAATGTTGTTTATCAAATTGTTGTCCCGTTTTCCTATCGTCAACATGTCTTGTGCTTAGCTCATGATCACCAGCTTGCTGGTCATTTAGGAGTTACGAAGACGTATTATAGGATTTTGAGTCATTTCTTTTGGCCAGGATTAAAAAAAAAAGTTACTCATTATTGCCGTACTTGTCATACCTGTCAGATTGTTGGGAAACCGAACCAGAGAATTTCACCCGCTCCTTTGTCTCCTATACCTGCGATTGGAGAACCGTTCGAACATGTGATGGTAGACTGCGTTGGTCCGTTACCTAAGACTAAGTCTGGTAACCAGTTTTTATTAACTGTTATGTGTGTGGCCACCAGATTTCCAGAGGCGATTCCGTTAAGAAAAATCACTGCGCCTGTTGTCAGCAAAGCATTGGTGAAGTTCTTCTCCACGTTTGGACTCCCAAAAATAGTGCAAACTGATCAAGGTACGAATTTTTTATCAAAACTTTTTAAACAAGTACTTGAATCACTGGCAATTTCTCACCGAGTCTCAAGTGCGTACCACCCCAGGGTCAGGGCGCACTTGAGCGCTTTCACCAAACCCTTAAGTCAATGCTTAGGAAATATTGCCAGGATACTGCTAAAGAATGGGATGAGGGGGTTCCCTTAGTTTTATTTGCTGTCAGAGAAACCGTTCAAGAATCCCTTGGTTTTAGCCCAGCCGAACTTGTGTTCGGACACCAAGTTAGAGGTCCGCTGAAGGTTCTTAAAGAACGGATTTTAGCACCCAATTCGAATTCAAACACTAGTGTACTGGATTATGTGAGCCAGTTTTGAGATCGTCTACTTACTGCTTGGTCGCTGGCTAGAGAATCGGTTGCCAATGCTCAGAAAGACATGAAGAGTAAATATGATAAGCAAGCGGTAGCGCGATCATTTCAACCTGGTGACGAAGTGCTTGTGTTGTTATCTGTTCCAGGATCATCTTTGTCTGCTTGTTTCTTTGGTCCCTATGTTGTGAAAAAGAGAATGAGTGAAACTGATTATATGTTGTACACACCTGATCGAAAACGAAAAACCCGTGTTTGTCATCTAAACATGTTAAAAGCTTATCATACCAGAGAGTCGTCAACGCCAACGGCCGGTGCTGTGAAACAGACTGCAGGGCCCGTTGTCTCTTCTGTTGCGCTAGCCGTGGATCTGATGCCATCTACTGTTACCTTGGGTGCGGACACAGATGGTGTGGTGCTTCGTCATACTTTTCAGCAGTGTGCAAGGTTAGCAATACTGCTTGGTCGCTGGCTAGAGAATCACTTGCCAATGCTCAGAAAGACATGAAGAGTAAATATGATAAGCAAGCGGTAGCGCGATCATTTCAACCTGGTGACGAAGTGCTTGTGTTGTTACCTGTTCCAGGATCATCTTTGTCTGCTCGTTTCTTTGGTCCCTATGTTGTGAAAAAGAGAATGAGTGAAACTGATTATATGTTGTACACACCTGATCGAAAACGAAAAACCCGTGTTTGTCATCTAAACATGTTAAAAGCTTATCATACCAGAGAGTCGTCAACGCCAACGGCCGGTGCTGTGAAACAGACTGCAGGGCCCGTTGTCTCTTCTGTTGCGCTAGCCGTGGATCTGATGCCATCTACTGTTACCTTGGGTGCGGACACAGATGGTGTGGTGCTTCGTCATACTTTTCAGCAGTGTGCAAGGTTAGCAAATTCAGAGATTTTAGAAGATCTTCCCTCATATCTTAATTATTTGACCGTGGATCAGAGAATAAACATTGAAAAATTACTTTCTGGTTCTAAATGTCTGTTTGGTGATGTTCCTACACAAACAAATGTCCTGAAACACGATATTAATGTGATTACTTTCTGGTTCTAAATGTCTGTTTGGTGATGTTCCTACACAAACAAATGTTCTGAAACACGATATTAATGTGAACGGAGCTCGTCCTATTAAGCAACATGCTTACCGCGTAAACTCAATGAAAAGATCTGTTATGCGTCAAGAGGTAGAGTATTTGTTGGAAAATGATTTAGCAAAGTCCAGCTGCAGTCCTTGGAGTTCTCCGTGCCTACTTGTTCCCAAACCCGATGGCACATTCAGATTCTGCACAGATTACCGTAAGGTAAATGCTGTGACTGTGCCAGACAGTTACCCGTTACCTCGAATGGAGGATTGTATAGATAACATCGGTTCTGCATGTTTCGTTACAAAGCTTGATATGCTGAAAGGATATTGGCAAGTTCCACTCACCTCACAAGCTTCGGAGATTTCAGCCTTTGTAACCCCAGACAACTTCCTCCAGTATACGGCAATGGCTTTTGGGCTTAGAAATGCCCCAGCAACTTTCCAGCGCCTCGTTAATATCGTTTTACATGATGTACCAAATTGCAACGCGTATCTTGATGATCTGGTGTTGTATTCGTTGAGTTGGACCGAACACATTTGCCTGTTGAGAACAGTGTTTGAACGACTTGTTAAAGCAAATTTAACACTTAACCTAGCAAAATGTGAATTTGGCAAAGCAACTGTCACGTACCTCGGTAAGGAGGTTGGTCAAGGCCAAGTACGACCGGTAGAGGCCAAGGTCACAGCCATAACGGAATTTCCGGTTCCTACTACCCGTAGAGAGTTGCGGAGGTTCTTGGGTATGGCAGGCTATTATCGTAGCTTCTGTAAGAATTTCTCGACTGTCGTGAGCCCTCTTACTTCACTACTTAGCCCGTCTAAATCTTATGAGTGGTCTGCTGAGAGCCAACATGCTTTTGATTTAGTTAAAACTTTGATGTGTAATGCACCCGTTTTAATGGCACCTGATTGTACTCGAAATTTTAAGCTGGAGGTTGATGCAAGTGCCGTGGGTGCTGGTGCTGTTCTTATTCAAGAGGATGAGAATGGGATAGAACATCCTATTAGTTATTACTCTCGTAAGTTTAACAAACATCAGCTGAATTATTCAACTATTGAAAAAGAAGCTCTTGCTTTATTGCTCGCATTACAACACTTTGAGGTCTACCTTGGTTCCAGTAGTCTTCCGATTGTGGTATATACAGATCATAATCCTCTTGTGCTTTTAACTCGAATGTACAACCACAATCAGCGTTTAATGCGTTGGGCTCTTATTGTCCAGAACTACAATTTAGAAATCAGACATAAGAAGGGTTCGGAGAATGTCTTAACTGATGCTCCCTCGAGAGGATAGGTGGGATGTTTTTTTTTTTTTTTTTAAAACGCGT